GTCTAATATTTCCTGCTGACTGGATTTTATTGCTGTTTCAAATAAATAAGATAAGTGCTGGGCAGAACCTGAAATCATATTCTCTAAACTAATATAAGAGCTGATGATTTCAGTAGAGCTGACATTATCTGGGCTTACTTTAGTGAACATCTCTTCAGGTGATATGGATGAACATAATTCATGTATTAGGCCTTGTTCTACGATTTGATTTTCATCAAGCGATTCCTCTGGAATCATGTCATCGTCTTGCTTCACAGATACTTCAGTTTTCAAAATCACATGACTTTGATCGTTCCCTGAGGGAACGGTTTTTTCGAATTCTCCCAAATTTTCCAAAATCATCCGATCAATATTAGTAGCAGATGAGTCCTGATTAGCCGATTCATGCAGTAGTCTATTGCGTTGCCTAATCTCATCGCTAACCTTATTCTTATGCATCTCATCCAAGAAAGCATCCATTTCCTTATCTTCTAATGGCTCAGTATTGGCGTTATCACTAGGCATGGTATCCACTTGTCCTACTTCACTATTGAGCTGATCTGTTTGCTTCAGCAAATCAGGTACATCAACAGCTGATACCTCTGGTATCGCTTCCTCAAAAGCTTCACTAACTTGTGTCTGCTGTTCCAACTTTGTAAATCTAACCCTAAACTCAGCATTCTCAAACTCGAGTTTAGTGATAGCTGACTTATATTTCTCTAGCTCCACTATTTTGGCGTTAAGTTTACCAATCTCGACTGAATAATGTGATATAGTTTTCTCCAGCTCATCGGTTCTGGCCTTAAGCTCTTGTCTCAGCTTCATTTTCTCAACCTTATCCTCAGTAACCTTCTTTCTAAGTTTGGGAACCTCATCATTCTCGATCTTAATTTCAGCAAACTTCTTCCTAAGTTCGGCAATCTCAGCTAAGAGCTTGGCATTTAATTCCCTTAATGAATCGTTGGATTGAGTGTTTGACATCGATAAATTTTATACAAGAACGGAAATATTCAAAAGTTCGTTAGTATATATAGAAATAGTCAAGTAAAATATATAGGTTATTTCAGCTGATCGTTTCTCGAGGGAATGGTTTTTGCCAAGAAAATTTTTTATTAATACATACGAAAAATAAATATAAATGTTCGGGACTTTGCCTGTGATACATGACGTCTATGCTAGTGTCCTATACAATTATTTTTTCTTGATTATCTCTTCTACACAGCGCTTCTTAGTTGCGAGTTCCTCACTACCTACTGCTCTATTCTTTAATAAACCTACAATCACTTCTAAAACCCTCTTCACACTCTTGCACAATTCCGTATCATTTTTGAGAGCTTCTTCTGTAAGTGAAATTTGATACTCAGTCCTGCTCGTGCTATAAATGCCCTCAGTACTATGTAGGATGAAGTACCAGTCAGTGTCAGTACTGACTATACCATAGACATATTCGTAATCGGGATCGAATGCCACATCAACTTTTCATTTTTTCTTGTTCATATTTATATTCATCTGAAGGGAAATAGAGAAGTAAGTTAGCAATAGCTCATGATCATCCTATAGCGAGCGAGCTAGTAGAATTTGTTATACTTACATCACAGGCACTTCGACATTGTAGTAAGTTTTGGCAGATACCCATAGTCGCCTGATTTTGTTTGCCTTCGGTTATGCAAATTATTTCCTCCAACATCTCACTGATAATTTTTTTGATTGCATAGTCGACATGACCAGTGTTTTCTTCACCAATTATATTCACCTGAGGTGTGATTACCAAGTCATCGAGAAGACTTACAGCCGTATGTAAGATAGTTGAAATGTACTCGCACTGCATAGCTTCGTTACTATCTACAACTGGACTCATATTTTTTATTTTACGAAGAATGTTATCAATACATAGCTTAAATTCAGGGACGCTTTCGTTGATAGTGTGGGTGGCTATATTATGATATGTAAGCTCGAAATATATAAAGAAAAGTGATATTACTTACGTAGTATGAACTGTGAAATGCGAGTTATATCTCCGCTAATAATCCCATATTTCTCCAGCACCTCACCAACTCTTTCTTAGTCTTGTACGAGGAGAATGACCTCAACTTTTTATCTTTACACTCCTTGGCAAAATCCGCAAGTCTTAATGCCAGTCCACCTGGCATACCATAACTGCGAAATTTTTCTTCGGTTAACTTAAGAAAGTCCTGGCCCACAATCTTCTCCTTGCGAATAATATTTTTGTCGTCCAAGTCCAGCCCTAAGTCCCGTTCTTGCAAAAATGAAATAAGGGCTCCAGTGTCATATTTTTTTATTTCATTCGCTAACGTGAGTGGCTCATTTTCAGTAGCGAAGTAGAGACAGGCGTGTCTACAATATCAGTCATTTTATAGTGAAAATAGGCTCAGATAAAAAATAGTATTACGTCTGGAGTTTTTATTTCTGGTGGGAACGCAAGTGTTAATATAGGTTTTTATATAGTACAGGCATTACGTCAATACATGTGACCGCTTACTCGTATATTGATAGGATAATAATACTTTATTTATGAAATAAAAAAATGTTGCCGGTTGCCAGCCTAAAATACATAAAAACTATTACATAGCATGATAATGAAATATAGATAAAAAATCTAACTACTGGGAGGCTTTAAGACGGGGTATATGAGGATGAGACCTTCTTCAATATGATTGATATTAAAATGCTTAGAAATCATATCATCTGGTTTCAACTCTGTCGTCAGCTCTTTTGGATTATCAACACAAAGCTTAATCTCATCAGGAACCTGCTTATAAAGTGTTT